TGGACATAACCCACTTGAGGAATTCTTTGAGGCTGATAGGAGCCAGGATGAGGATAAACCAGTTGTTTATGGTATGATACGAGCCTCTTAATGTTTTCTTTTATTTGCTAATTGAGTACCACATGACCTTTCATTGCATCAGATCACTGGTAAATGATTTACTACTGTTTTCCAAATAACAAAATAAGAGCAGCATTCAACACATGAATATTAAGAAACTGAAAAGAAAACGGAATGAAAAATTGAAGCATACAACTGGTATGACTAAATATCCCACCTTTAATGTACATGCATGACCAAACATCTCTGGTTTACTGAAGCGTCAGATCACCTATCACTTAATTGATTCTGTAATCAAAGCTGACAGATATATGGTTTTATAAATGGAAAGTGCTCTTTGTTTTTTAGTATGTTTACAAGAATTATTTCTTTTATAGCATCTCGCCCATTGGGCAATCCAGTGGGGCTTACGGTTTGACAATATATATAGTGTGATGTGGACATAGCTGGGATGAAAGGTCTTATAACCAGCTATATGGAATCAATATAAGATTCTGGGAAAGATTGATATGCATTTGTTGGACTGGCATGCTCCGAAACCTATGTTATTGGATATGTGGACTTGTAACAGAGCACACAATGAATAAACAGTTGTTTTGGTGAATATTTTTGTTTTTTTTCCCGCTTAATCTCTTTGATAAAACATCACTATATATTTACATGATTTGATGATATTTTGAAGCCTGCTATGTTAGACTTGTACAGTTGTATTCTTGGTGGTTTCTTTACCCTAATTTTTGTATCTCCTGAAGGAAAGCTAAAGTAAAGGCTCGAGACCAATTTATATGATATTAACCTAACAGATACTTTACATCCAAAGGTGCTGAAAGTGCCCAAGTGTGATTTATTTTCTGTTTGGTATTTTTAATGGCATGCCATTTTGCACATCATGTTATTTTCTTCACAAGACTGATACAAAGTACTTTAATTAACTTACAAAACAGTATGTCTTCTCTATGGAAATTTTATGTTCCTTTCCTATCGGCAAAAAGAGAACCTTTGTTTTTCCTGAATGCATTTTCCTTTTAATCTTACTGCCTCCAGGGCGAAGTTGGAAAGCTTCTGAACTGCGTCTGAAGTCTTGGGATGATCTTCAAAAGTTATGGTATGTTCTGTTAAAGGAGAAAAACATGCTGATGACTCAACGGCAGATGCTTCATGCCCAGAATTTTCGATTTCCCAATCCAGAGCGCTTACCCAAGGTCTATCCAATCTTCTTTCCTTGTGTTTTGATATGAGCATGTTATTGATGTTGCTCTGAGCTCCTCAAATGCTTTGCCTTATATTCCTGCACTGACAACGACTTGAATAATTTAGCCCTTCAAACCATTCAATCACTAAAAATAAATGTACTACCGGTCAGAAAAGCCAGGGAAATGATATGGCTTTTCATATGCATGCAAACATGGGCTTAATGTGTTTTATAATCATCATCTCCATTTTCTCTCTCATTCTCTATTGGGGGAGTGGTGGAGGGTTTTTCAAGATATATATATTTTGTTTTGTGTGGTGTGGGGTTGCCAGCATATGCATGTAAAAAGCTTGTTTGTATGTCAGATGAATATATATATTTTGTTTTGTGTGGTGTGGTGTGGGGTTGCCAGCATATGTGTAAAAAGCTTGTTTGCATGTCAGATTAAGTACTACAATTACAAGCAGCTTTGCTACGAACTCACCTGTGTTTTGATAGTTTCTTACAAAGAACAGAAAAGTAAAAGAAGGATTACTAGAACATTGCTTCTCTTTGAACTTAGTATATCAGTTTTTAGGATGCAAGTTGTGTTTTTTTCCGCAAGTACTACAATTACAAGCAGCTTTGCTACGAACTCACCTGTGTTTTGATAGTTTCTTACAAAGAACAGAAAAGTAAAAGGAGGATTACTAGAACATTGCTTCTCTTTGAACTTAGTATATCAGTTTTTAGGATGCAAGTTGTGTTTTTTTTTCCCATCCCCCAGTACATTCTCACAAGCCCGACTGCAAATTCTGTTCTATTTCAATGAACAATGAAATTCAGGTGAGGAAGTCAATGTGCCGTATCAAGCATGTACTCACGGAGAGAGCCATAGAAGAGCCAGATCCCAGGAGGTCTGCTGAGATGAAGAGGATGATAAATGCTTTGTGATAATATCCAACTCGTTATTCTGTTCCCCGGGGCACTGGATGAAGTCTATTTGAGGGACGCGACATTGCTATATTTTTCCTGGTGTTAGGCGTACATCCCTTCTGTTAATTGGCCTAGTGTCTTATCACCACATGGAATCTGATTGTGAACTTCTGGAAATCTTTGTTTCTTTCAGAAAGTACAGCAGGAGGCAATGACACCTGAACACGTAATTAGGACTGCTAATTATGGTGTATTTTTGTGATACATTTGTAAGCGTCTCCAGTATTCATAAATTACTTCGTGTTTAAGAAAGGGTGCTGAACGTTGCTCTGTTTCTCTGCAGTTTCAATTGCCGAGTCATTTAATGGGGATTTAGCTAGCCAGTGGATCGATTTTCCATTTCCTTTTTAACGCCTCCTGTTTCATATAGGAGTACTGGACGGATAATCAAAACAAAAGACTCTATTTTTGATAGGTGTGATCCGTTGCATATAGATCCAATTTTTCATCTTTTTTGACTCCTTAAAATTTGTTTTTACTGTTCCTAGTGGTATCAAGATTCCACTGTATCAGGATATTTTATCTGTCACTATCGGAAAATGGATATCTCCATAGAAGATTGTAAGTGTTTTTTATTTTATTTTTGGTGTTCTTTATTCAGATCAACCTCTCTGATTTGTGTATCGACTTCAATGATTTGGAAACATATTTGGGTAAAATACACAACTCCGAACTATAAAATATACATTTCCTCGAGAATTAAAAAAAAAAGGATTTATTTTCATTTGCTCAACTAAATGCTTTTTTTTTTTTTCAACAATGGAATGCCCTCTATCACATGGATAAAAGCTTAGAAATGTTTCTATGAAAATTGAGTGGCAAAGCGAAAAAGGAATCGGTAGTTAAGAGGAAGAGATTTTTACAACAACATTTAATCGCCTGTGTTTATCAGTTCGGCTAACAGCTATGGCCAGAGAGTTTTCCTGAAATTAAACTAATTAATTAGAGAACTAATTATTTTTTCTCATTGTCTTTTGAAAATATTTTTAATGATTGGATTTCTCAACGGAGAATAATTCATTTTTTTCCCGTACAAAACTGCGAATAATTCTGTTCGAATCTTATTGCCATTATTTCTAGAATGAACCGTTTTAATATTTTAAAAAAAAGTTAGCATGTGAACTCTACAGCACCCCCCAACAATTATTACTGTTTGTCTTGGAGTTTCGGAATGAAACAGAACACAGATTGATTAAAGTCCAAGTTAATGAAGCCTCCGACTGAAGGACGAGGAACCAAACCTATAAAAGTCCTTCACTTATTTGCTTAGCATCCGTGTGCATGGGCTTCATAATTTATCGTCAACATTTACCTATTATTATCCTATCCAGTTTTCTCACAAAACCCTACCTCCAGCCATCTCCCTCGCAAGATTTTTGCTAGAGTTCATGCAGGGTTTAATTGTTTTGATTTTGTATTTGTACAAAATACGACGTATTTACTGGAAAATTCACCTACCTGGGTCAGTCAAGAGTTTATCCTAAATGCCAGTGGCCTTGGAAAAAGAATTGGTATAGTTTCAGAGCGAAATTGGAAGGGCAAATAATTGAACTGTGGTCGCCCATCAATTATCAGGAGATCACAAATGAAACAAAAAGGCCCAATAATTTGGCCTGGCCATGCGATCCGTCTGGTGCGAGGGGAGGGCTTAGCTGGACGTGTGGCTGCGCAAAAGATTCCCGTCCCGGACTCGCCTCGACACATTATATGTCTACAGTGGGCCCTCCCCCTATACATTACGACCTCATCCAACTGGTTCTATTGTCCATTAATCATTTGAAAATTGGAGTTCTGATCGGAGAAACTTTGGGAGGGGGGGCGCTCTTCCTTTGGTTACAAGGGAGTTTCCTTCTCCCTTCCTCCCTTTAATGTCAACGATATGTTCTCATCATGACTTTTAAGGAAGAAGGGAAGAAAGAGAGGAAGGAACCCTTTTCAATCGATTTTTAACTCTGAAGAGGTTCGTTTCTTCAATCCCAAGCATCTTTCAACCCTGCCAATAAAGGTGATTAAAATGTGTAGCCTTGTCTCGGCGTACGGCATTTACTTCGCTTTGGACTTGTATCATAAAAAGACACCTCTCTGCTGACAAGTGGATGGCAGTGATTTGCTTGATAATTTGTATGCAGACGCAAATTCTGCTTTAATCCACGGCTGAATTGACAAAGCTTTTCTCACATGAATTGGAAGTTTCTTTCTTTATGCACAAAATGTTTATTGACATAATTTTTGTGTCTTAAAACAAGCTAGAAGACACGAGGAGCATATACACATATGGTCCTTGTTAGATCGACAGTCATAATCCCCCCGTGTACGGACTGGAAAGTGAATAACTCTCTCAATTTCAATTGTGGGGTTCCCTTTCTTTGCTTCCATTATTAAGGGGAGCGGGGACCGATGGCTCCTTGCTACAATCACAGTTGAAGGAATGAGAAGTCTTGCAGATGTGCTATGCTCTCTTTTAAATTAAAGAGAAAAGGAGCACGAATCAAAACCAGCAAGCGATATTTCATTTCCTAGAAGTCATCTAAAGTTGAAGGCCAGAAAAAGTGAACAAAAGCTGCAATTCAAGTGATTAATATCAATTGTCTCTCGGGACCGGGGATAGTGATATGCAACTATATAAATAGAGAAAGGGAGAGAACAGATAAAGCATCCAGGCTCATCTGATTTCAACTCACCATTTCCTAGCGGAAGGTTTTGGATAAATGGATAAAAATTAAATATCCAATTTGAAAAGGGATGCTCGGATACACTAAGAAGAAGGATCAAATTCTAAGAAAGAAAAGAAAATATCCCATTGATAAATAACATTTGTTTTGGATTGTTTACAGAGAGAATTGCAACGTGATGACGCATATGCAATGAGGCAAAGAAGAGTACATACACAAGTAGTAGCCTTATTCTGCAATTCTGTACCACACCCAGAAGTAAAAAGCTAATAAAAAGGATTGTAATTTTGCTCACAAATATTCCAAAACCAGAGGGTGAGAAATGTTTTAATTGTATCAGACCTATGTACAAAGAAAAATCTTTAGCACGCACACCTGTAAATGAAGAAAGAGCATCTGTTTCAAGCCTCTCTAATCAATTTCTCCTCTAAATTGAGGCTCCCTGTACCAATGCAAGCTAAATATATCCATAAGATGCTGTAATTCTCTGAATATCCCTGGGACATATATCAGGATTTTGTAAAGGTTGTTGTTGTTGCTGCTGGTTATGAGGCCACATACCACTTGAATTTTCTGTTACGACTTGCGTTTCTGATTTTATCTCATTGTACAATGATTGCTGATTTTGATTTTGCAAAGCAGCAGCCATGAACAATGGATTTTGAAGATATTCAGGCCACTTGATGTCCTCGTGCTGGCTTCCCATCAAGTGGTTCTGTGCCTCTTTTTCTGCTGAGCCGCACTCTCCTAGTCCCCAAGAAAAGATGGTATTCTCAAAGAAGGAGCTGTTGCTTTGCAGCTCGGCACTACCATTGCTTACAGTATTGCTGTTACTATTGCTTCTGGAGTTACCGGTTTCCCACAGCCGACAGCTGTTGGTAGTAAAAGAGGACAATGAAGGATTGTCAGGTGAAACAGTAATGGAAGGCTTGTAGCTCATAGAAGTAGAATGAAATGAGCTTGTTACTGCTGGTGGAAGAATGGAGGGTATCACAGTCGAAGAGAATTCAGAGTTCATGTCAAAAGCTTTGCTGGATTGGCTCAACCAGAGGGAGGGAATCGAGTTTGTTGCGAGCCTGGCATTGGATGCGTAATTCAATTGCTGAAGAGGGAAATGCCCCACGAAATCCGAAGGCTGGCAGTTACTTGTGGAACCTTGATGGTGGGAGGCTGTAAACCTATCCAAGAAAAAGTCTTTGTTGCTTGCTGGTGTCATCAAATTGTTGTTAACATGGTCATTGGTGTTGTTGCCGTTGCCATTCAAGACCTTGGAGCTGGAAGTACTTCTCCTCTCCAATTGGTAGCCATTTGGAGAAATTGGAGATGATCTTTTTTCTTGTAAATTTGCTCCTGATGACTTAGAATTGTCAGCTTTGAGGAGGTTGAGTTCAGTATTGGAGACTGCAGAGGCTTTATCTTTGGTGCCACTAGCAGGTGGATTCTTGTCTTCTCCATTTTCAACCTCAGAAAGTGGTTTGTGGGTAACAGGGTCAATGCCTCCCTGCCTAAGTTTTTTCTTTAAGCAAGAGTTCCATAGATTCTTTATTTCATTGTCTGTCCTTCCAGGCAATTGTGCAGCAATCTGAGACCACCTGAGGAATCATTTACGAAAACAGCATTAGCTTCCATGAGAAAAGAAGACAAATTCAAAAGGAGGGATCGTTAATTATGGGAAGTGAGAATACCTATTTCCTAGAACTGCATGAAGCTCAATTATGAGTTTCTCTTCCTGCTGTGAGAATGTGCCTCTCTTCAAATCAGGCCTCAAGTAATTAATCCACCTTAGTCTGCAGCTCTTGCCACACCTTTGCAAACCTACAAAATTCAATACAAACCTCATTAATGTCCATGAACAGTGGTTCCTTTTTGATCGAAGATTACACAAACACTCTGGCTCTTAAGGATAGCTGAACAAAGGGGTTGATGGAGCTGAGGTTGGTCTTACCAGCTTGCTTTGGGACAGAGCTCCAACAACCATGGCCATACTTAGTGATATGCCTTAAGAGTTTCTCATCTTCCTCAGGTGACCACAGGCCTTTCCTTAGCTTCTGCTTGTAGCAACAAGGGTGCCTCCCCATTTGGAGAAAGACTGAGCTGCAATGAGGGTAAGAAAAAGAAAGATACCTTTCCTAAAACAGAATACTTTGTTGAATCCTAGGTGAAATGTCAGCAATGAGCACAGATGCCTGTGAAATGGATTTGTAAGGAGTGCTTTGGTAGAAAAGATGTAGGCAGAGAGAGAGAGAGAGAGCTTTTGAAAGGGAGGCAAAGAAAATTAAGTAGCAGTCGAGAAAGGGAGTTGAATTAATATAAGGGGCAGCCCTGAAGAGAGAAAAGTCATCGTCAATATGGTGTTAAAGTCACCTCTCTCTCTTCGTCCCTTAATATTTTCCATTTTCTTTTCTTTTTTGGAGGATTATGTATTTCATTTAGTTGTCAAGGAGTGGATACAGTCTGAGTTGCATACATACGTCTTATCAGAAATAATGTCTTTTGCAAAGATGGTGGGGCACTTCATTGATTCTACATATGTTTAGTAGGAAATTCAAATAATGGCTGATAATAACCTATGCTTCTAACTTAAGTCAGTGAAATGCCAACGGACAAAAGTTTCTAAGCATTTTAAAATCATAGTAAATAATGGAGGTAATAAAGAAAAAACTAGTGAGTCTCCATACAATATAGTTGAGAGATATAAATTTCAATTAATATTCTTTGTTTCATGATTCTTCCAAGGACACACCGAGTAAACAATAGTTTTATGTGTCCAGCGAGTCTCATGCATCAATAAGTGATTAGTCTAATAAACAGTGGCGGAAACAGGGAAGGCTGGCAGGGCTACCGGCCCTACAACGAAATTGTTTTTTCCCGGCCTCCTTTAAGTTTATTTTCAGTATTTATTTTTATAAAATATCGGATAAATTGCAGTATTTTAATCCCTTTAATTTTATGTTTTGATTCCGCTCCTGCTAATAAAAATTATAAATTTATATAAATAATATTTTAATTTAATAATTTAAATTTTTAAATGAGATTTTAAAATATAATTAATATTATTTTGTAATATATTCTCTCAAATAAAAACTTTTTGAGTTTGAAATTTATATAAATTTATATTATGTTATACTTAATTTTTATTAAATAAATAAAAATATTAAAGAATTATTTTAATTTAATAACTTAAATTTTTAAGTGAGTTTTTAAAATATAATTTATATTATTTTTTAACAATTATATATACATATATATATATATATATATATATATATAAAGAAAAAGATAGAAGGAAATGAATGAAGTCTTGGGATAGAGTTCCTCGGTCTTATATATAGATGTTGTTTATTTTTATATTTTAAAAATATTTTTTTAAAAAAATAAAAATTTTTATTTTTTGATTTGTTTCAAATTAATATTTGTAGATTATTTTAATATATTTTTAAATAAAAATTATTTTAAAAACTAAACACAACCAAAATTTTAAATCTACAGTACCATGAAACATGGAACCGGAGGACTCTACCCCAAGAACAAGATGAACTAAAAAAAGGAATGATTTGGTGTATAATCCTTCCTTTCGACGCAGCGTAAGGGGAGGTTTTTTTTTTTTTTTTTCCCCTCTCGTACAGAAACAACGGATGAGACCACATATAATATTCCTTTTCTTAGGCAGAGCAACTTTAGTGTCTCGTAGAAACAGGGGTTCCTCTCACTTCTTTACTCCTACGAGCTTTTTGAGGCAATTCTTCCAAATCATGATCACCTGCCAATGTTTCATCATTACGTGGAAAGAACAATTTGTTTCAGTTATTTTCTTATTTTTTTATTAAAAAAACTTATCTTGCTATTTCTGGTAGAATTCACTTACAGTTTATTTGAAACCAATCCTAATTCTGTGCTGCTAGAATTTATTTCAACAATTTAAATTTTGAAAACTATTTTTACTTGACTTTGTAAAAACACACTAATTACCCTACTTTTAGTTGTAGCAAAAAAAAAAAAAACATTAAAGCGGTATATGATGCTTTTGTAAATATGAGTTTTAATAAAAAAAATCAAAATAAAATTTTTTAGAATATTTTTTAATTTTAGCATTGGTCCATTAAAATTATTAAAAATATTAATTTAATGTTTTTTAAAATAAAAATATTTAAAAAATCATTTTTTTAAAAGCCAACACTCCATTATTCTAATCATATATATATGATCAAGAAAGGTATTGATACTATTAATTTTTTAACATCATTTATAAATTTATAAAAATATTTAATTTCAATAAGAGGTAAAATTCATTTATATTTCAGACATTAAAACTAAATAAATAATTAAAATAATTTTATTTCTACTCAAATCTTTTAAATCAACACAGAAATTAGCTTTTAAAAATTTGTCCTTTTTTTAATTGTTTTGATATAGTGATATTAGAAGCAATTTTTTCAATAAAAATATTTTTTGATATATTTTTAAATAAAAAATATTTTAAAAAGCAACAATTACCCCTATATTAAACACCTTCTAAATGAAATTTAAAGTGATTCTGTCAAATATTATCTGAAAAATAATCAACTGAAGTTGAATATGTAGGCGTTGTATTTTACCAATTCTGTAACCGTGTAATACTAACATGGTATTGTTCCCTGCCCCAGTGAATAATCCACATTTAGGTGTTTTAATCCTAGAATGAAGTTTTAATTAAAAACAAATAATGAATCAATAATTTTGATGTCAATGCATTAAAAAATATAATAATAAACTTGAAAAAATCATATAAAAAACTTATAAATAAATAAATAAACATATATTTCTTTTATACTGGATATTCGAAGTTGATATATACAATTGCTCTAAAAATAATTGTTGATATTGTTAGAAAAAAGCTAATATTACTTAAAAAGAATGATACAATTGAATAATTATTTAAATATCATTTTAATAATTTTATTTAAAAGGAATATAATTATAAAATATAAAAAGAAAAAAAATTAATCAAAATTTTAAAAGATAAAGGGTCATGATTGCATGGGATGGAAAAATAGAACAACACGCCTAGCCCACGTTTATAACCCCGACGCACCTGAGATATTTTTCCTTAAAGTCATCCACCTTTATTTTGTTTAAAGTGAAGGGATGCCGCCTCTTCCTCGTATAATTTTTGTGATCACCGAAGACTTCGGTGATTGAAAAATTAAGGCAAGTTTTTCAACCTTGAAAATATCAATTTTAACAATTTTTTTAATTCAAAAAATTAAAAAATCTCATGAATCTCATGTCTCGGATAAGAAAATACATTTTAATAGTATAAAAATTTAAAATCAAATTAAATAAAAATAATTCTTGAATTTTATATTTTTCTAGTATCATTAAATATGAAAATCATCTTCTCAGAGTTATTTTTTTAAAATAAATTTATAAATATTAAAATCAAAGTTATTAATGATCGTAATTTGTCTACCTAATAGCTTTCTTTTATTTAAATTTTTTATAATATTTTTTTTCTTTCAAGATTTAGGAATTAAAATGGTAAAAACTAAATTTTAATATCAAAATAAAAAATAAGAAATAAAAGGGACCAAATATAAAGATTTAGGACCAAAGTATAATCTTACGCATTCAATGAACATTAAATGAGGGAAAAAGGCTTTAAATTTTTGTCAATGTCAACACTGGTCCTGTTCCTCTTGATTTCTTTTCAAAACAATTAAGAATTAAATTATGCAAAATTAACCTGACACTTAACTACCTCATGATGATCTTCGATACCATGAGACACGTAATAACAAGCGATCTGAAGAGAATAAAAAAAACACTATGACGATGAAAACAGAACTTATGAGGGCTTAACCGAGTGAAAAAAAGAGAGTAGAAAAGTTCGATGAACACAGCTAAAAATTGAGTGATTAATTTCCATTTTATAACTGGATGAATGGTGGCGGCACAGTAAATAAACCTAGCTCTCATAGCGCAGTGAAATGTGAAAAGAATACAATCATGCAGTGATCATACGGGATTTAATGAATTCTCTTGTAATCAATTTGAAGCAAGCTTTGTATTAATATCTTCAACTGCAAACCTCTGATGTATTTTTGGTGACAATAATGTCGTGATGACTTGGCGATTAAAATAACTACAATATTTTATTTAATTTTCTCAATGATCAGAAAGCTACAAGGCATGATTCTTTAATTTGGAACCGAATATTTAATACAAATGGGAGTAAACTACATAAGAATATGTGTAATATAAAACACCGATGAAGACGAATTAGTACTGCTGCATTTTTCTTGCTATGGACCACCCTCCGTTTAGTCTTATTGATCAATCCGGCTTAATTTGAACTCCTTAATACATCCTAGCTGTTTCCACCTTTTATTGGGACCCTTTCCATCGAAAAATTTATTAGATTTTTCTCCATCGAAGGCAAGCTCGTGAACTGCTCATAGCCCAGCCATGCAAGAATGACTACTCAGGTAATTTTGAGAAGTATAGTTAAATTCATCAAGTTTTAAATTTGTGTTTTAAAAGTTATCCATTCAAGTTCTATAAATTTTAAAATTATTAAAAATTTATATAATTATTAATTTTAAAATGTATAAAATTAATTAAGATAATTACAAACTGATCAAGACACTACTTTTATAAAAAAGTTTAACTACTTTGGAGGATGAAATCAAACGAAGTTATTAGCAACCATTCTTGCTGAGCAGGCTTTGTTTTTGTACTCAGGAAAGCAAGAGCATGTACAGAACTGAGAATTTAATTACAGTAGCATGTACAGAACATACAACTATTACTTTGAACTTGATGGCAAGATTTAATTTCATCAATTATGTAAAGGAAATCATTAGCTATACAGAGTAGCATGGCCCGCGCGCGTTGAAACGTGAAACGGTTTGGGATTTTCATAAAAGATTAGCGAGTATCTTTTCAATCGCACTAATTAATTATAAATAAAGCTCAACCTCCATCGCTTATCTTTCATTCTAACTATCAATCATTTTGACAGAAGAAGAAAATCCGTTGTTAATCTCTTCTGTCTAATTTGTTTAAGTTCTTTCTTTCAAGCGAAAAGAATCACATTGACGTGTATGACAAGTCTTGCATTTCCGGAGGAAAACTGCAGCCCAAAAATAGTCGCTTCATTCATCATGAGAAGCCTAAAATTAGACCTTAGTAAATATTATCTTTCCATATATATATATATATAAAAAAATTCTAGCCATGAAAAAGCTTGTGGGTACTCCAACTAAAGACTATTTTTTGTGTTTGTCAACAAGATTTAAATGAAGGGAT